TCTTGCATAACATGCCAATAGGCTACCATTTTATGTTGTCTTTGAACAGTGTCCTACTGAACTATTGGAAATGGTTTTTGTCAATGTTAATGGTTCTGCTCTAGTCTCTGTGGCAAGTTCTTAGTGTTTTGTGTAGCCATTCTTTTACATGGAGATATTTTAAGTGGTACTTTTCCTTTTATATTATTTTCTTTAACTTTTATGTATACCTTCTTCAAATAAAATTTATGAACGTGTTTCCAAGGACTTTTACTGTTGCAGACAACTTGCAGATATCAATTCTTTTCGTTTACTCAGAAAATATACACAGCTTTTATTTTAATGATTAGGTAAGAGCAAAGTTAGAGCCCTAAAACTGTAGCTTTAGGGCTAAGCCACGAGAGGGCGCTGTGTCTCTTTCTGGTAAAGGACATCAGTTGAGCCCGGAGTTCAGGGCAGGCTGTTCACATCTTGTGATTCCAGTTCATTATAGGGTTGTTGCTCAGACTTTTAAAATCTACATTTTCCCTTGGGCTTCAGGTATCACCTATGACAGGTAGAGATGACAGTTTACAGACTTTTTCCCTGTAGTCTGTGGGAGGCAGCTTGCCTGCAGGGCTCTTGGGGCTTCTCCAGGGAGTGGAGTTAGAAGTCCTGACTCTGAATTGCACTGTCACAGGTCTCCAGGTGTCCCACTGCGTGACTATTGTGACTATCGGCTGGGCCACTCCAAGTCTCTAAGTCAAATGCATGTGTGCCTGAGGGGCAACCTCACACACTGTGCTGGGCTTTGGGGGAGGCACTTTCCGAGCAGAGTGGGAAGGAAGGATGGAAAGCACCATACTTGTCATCTAGGGAGAACTCCACAGTCTGCATGGCTTCCCAACCCAGCTGGAACATGATCAACCAGCATAGCACTTGGTAGCACTCGGTGGTGATGATCCTCCCCTCACCTCTCATCAGTACCCTGCCTCTGAAAACACTGTGCCTATAGCTAGGATGCTAAGCACTTGCTTCTCTCTGCCCAGCACCAAGAAAGTCCCCCTTCTGTGACTCCTTTCAGTGGCCTTCAGCTTTTCCTGGCTAGTAGCCAAGGGTTCTTCACATCCTCTGACTCATTTCCCTCCAGGCAGCACCTAAACATTTTCTTCTTGGCTCTCACACAGAACTAAACCTTTGCCAAGACCTGTTCATTTCTCCTCTTTGACGTCTAGGGCTTCAGACCCGAGGGCCCCAAATCCCACTTCTACCACTTCCCATCACTGTAACCACGGGCAGATGCTGCCATTTCTCAAATCTTTGCATGGCCACTCAGCATAAGGATAACTGTGAGCAGACTCTTTATCCTGAACCTTTGTTTCCCTCACTTATAAAATGAGGATGTTATACTCAGGATGTTGTAAGGGTTAAATGAAGAGATTCATATGAAGACCTTGGTACTTACAAGAGCCTAGGTCATAGGTTCTTATAAAACCATTCTAAGCCTCAGCTTCCCTAACTACCCATCCCTCCGGGCTGTATGAAAGTTTCATGTCAAGTCTCCAGGCATGCTGCTTAGCAATCCACTTCAAGAATTATCCATGGTTCTGCCATTCCTCCCAGCCTCAGTGGCATCACCAAACACCCACACACCTGCCGTGGAACCTCTGCAGCTACAGTGGACGGTTTGTCCCCTTTTCTCACCAATCTCTGGAGTAAAACTTTGGGGCCTCATGGCTGGAGAGATGGCTCAGTGGTTAATGACCCTGGCTGCTCTTCTAAAGGATCTGAATTTGATTCCCTGCACACGTGTTGACTGCAAATTGTCTGTAACCCCAGTTCAGGGGATCTGATGCCCTCTTCAGGCCTCTTCAGGCACTGCATTTGCATGGTGCATGGCAGGTAAAAATCCATACTATTAAATTATTTTTTTAATTTTAATTGTTGGTTTCTTTTCCATATTATATATTTTGATCATATTCTTTCCCCTCTCCAAACTCCAGCCTGATCTTCCCCACCTCTCAATCTCAATCTATTTTTTACATCTCCCCATGCACCTTTTTTTTTTTTTTTTTTTTAACACGGCAACCTTACTTTATTGTTTTGATCTCTCTAGGCCTTGGCATTTATTGTATTGATGCCCATATTTCAAGGCCCATCTCAAATACAGCCTCACCTTCAATAAATGTTGTTATCAAGTAGAGAACAGTTCATGCTGGGGACGGGGCACTGAGGGTAGGACAAGTAGGAGGAACTGGGTTTGGGGCAGATCTTTTCTCCTGAATCTATGCAGTGGTATTTGAGTTGTTATAAAGTAGGGATCACTGGCGCTGCATAGTTAGAACAGAAAATTCCAATCACTAAGCAACTGTTCAGGGCGGGGGTTTGGGAGCCATTTCAGGACATGAGACGGGGCGGGACATAAGACAAAATGCCAGCCCAGTAAAGAGCATGTCAGTAGTAAGGGGGGAGGCAATGGAGATGTGCTCCCTATGAGTTGGGAATTACTATTCCACAGGTTGTAGGGTCTTTAAACCTGTGAGGATTTAAGGATTTCTAATTCTATGCTATATAATACTTTAAAAGCAAGGATATTGGGATTCCAAGGATTTTAAATCCCTATAACCTATGGTAGAAGAAGAACTCAAGCAATTCACGAGCTATGCAATGCTAGGAGCTTAGGACACAAAACAAGGGCTTTAAATGGAACATTGGACACCTTAAATTAATCCTCCTTGGGTTTCAAATCATCCTTGACTTAACCCTTGGGACAGTGTTTCCAAATTGTCCCCCCCCCTCACGGAGACCGATTCGATTTTTGGCTTCCCTGGGGCAGCTCCATCCCTATCAGATTTACATTTTAGTCTTTTGCATTCAATTCAGAAGAAAGAGTTTCTTGCTAAAAGCTGTTTAAGTTTTAAAATCTCTGTCCCAAGACAAAGAAACCTCAAATCTAGTGAGCACTTGAATGTAGAGTGGTTCAGAAAGCCACAACAGACCTCTCTTGTGTCTTAATTGTTTATAAACACTGCCAGCTTTGCTTTGACTGATAAACCATCAAATGGTGACAAAGATTAGGCAAAGGGGCCTGGGACATACTCATTAGTTAAATAATCAGTCACCATCGCACTCAAGTCTGGAAACAGACTCCTTTATAGTATCAACAATTCCTAGTACAGGCACTGTCACTTTACTGTGACTTCTGCTGTCTGTGAGGAGTCATCCTATGAGTCAGGGCCTGTGCTGTTTTCTTTATTCCATCTCACTGAATCGGCACAACCACACTGACAGCAACTGTCACCCGTCACTTCATGACATGGATTAAGAGAATGGAGCTCAGGGTGGATAAGTAACTAACCCAAGCTTGTGCGTCTGGCTTCTGGGAGATTCCACTTCACTTACCAGAAGAGCTACAATGGACTGAAGGAATTAAAGTGGTCAAAGTTCAATTGCCTGAGATTCTCCTTCCAAGACCAAGGTGAAATTTTAACCGATAGATGGCAGCAGTGTGTGAGTCTGGTGGCCTACTCCAGACAGTCCATCCCATTTAGGGAAGTCCCAGCTAGGGCTCAGAGCTGGAGGACTATCTCAGGTTGAGAGAGACGAGAAAGGAAAGAAGGCGCCATTTTGTTTTGCAATAAGATGCCATTAGCATTTGCCCTCCTCGGTTGAGGAAAGATTTGAAGAAGTGGGCGAGTGGATCCACAGTGCTTCTTCCAAGAGCTGCTTTGACAACACCTGGGCAATTTTTCATTATGATTTTCTGGTTTTTTGTTGAGGGGTGCTAGGCTACCAAGTTGCATGGGTATCAAACACAGGTTCCTGCAAAGGGAAGGAGGAAGCAGGTGCTGTCATAGATGAGGCAGTGGTAACATAAGGTTACCAATCCTGGACTTGAGGCCAGGAGACTCTCCCAACAAAAGGGTAATGTAAGGTACTTCTATTGACTGAACGAGAGTTTAAAAGGCTGAGAAGACCGGAAAGCCATTGCAGGGAGGAGTTTAAAGGCACAGAAGCATTAGAAAGCATGCTACACTCAAGGGCAAGCCAAACAAATTTTAAGGGCAGAGAGATGAGTTTGCAAAGACAGGCAGATATTGCATGATTAGCACCAGGCATTGGGACATACACCTATAATCCCAGAAGGAGAGTTAAGACAGGAGGACTGTCTGGTAAGTGAAGAGGAATCTCCCAGAAGCCAGATGCACAACCTTGGGTTAGTTACTTATCCACCCTGAGCTCCATTCACTTAACCCATGTCATGAAGTGACGGGTGACAGTTGCTGTCAGTGTGGTTGTGCCGATTCAGTGAGTTTGTAGCCAGCCTGGGCTAGATAGTGCTAGAACTAGGGATACATAGCAAGACCTTGTCTTAAGAAAAAGCCACAAACACAAAAGCAGATGATTAAAGAATCCAGAATACCACAGTAAAGAATTGATTCACAAATGTATAGCGATGGATGTCTGCATGCTTTTTCCTAAATTACTGCCTCATGGTAATTATGAGCCTGCCCCCTCAAAAACAAAAAATTAGTCTAACTGTTGATGAAGTAAGACTATGACCTGATTTGGTGGCCCGTGTACAGAAAGATTGTGAAACAAAATGCTGGAAGTGAGAAAATTCATTGAAGAGTAATTGGGACAGGAGTAAACATGAAGGTCAGAGCTGGGGTAGATAGCGAGGGAACCAAAGAGATATAATTGACAGGATTTGGTGGGTGTCCAAGGGTTCCTCCTCATATGTGACAACAGTCCCCAATGACTAAGTGAGAAAATCCATCTCACCCTTACCTCAGGCCTCATCCTCTACCCACAACTCTCGAGCTGCCCCATTGGGGGGGGTTCCTGAGCTGCCCTTGACGTTTAGTCAAGCCTGACTCCACAAGTGAACAGAGATAGCCCGGCAAGAGGCTTTGTCCCCTGAATTACATTCTCAGAGGAGAAAATTCTGTCAGCTGGCCTCAGGTAGAGGTAGAGCAACGAACTGACCTCTGCCTATGGCTTCACAATACGGACAGAGTTCAGTTAAGAAATCAGTGCAATTCCCAGAAAACGGCAAACATCATTCCATTTATTTTTCTTCTGATTCATCTTCTGCCAATACCCAGACTGAATAGCAGGCAAAGTAGATGCAGGTCCCCAGACAAGCAGATTCTCAAGATGCCTCCTGCTGTTCCATCCCCTTCCCCTTCCCTTCCCTGGAGATGTCCCAGGATTGCTTGGATCTGGTGTTGGTGTCTCAGGAAAGGAAGATGGAGGTCAGCCTTTATCCCTTGGACACTGGCTCATATGGCTATCTTGAAGAATTGGGGGAATCAAAGGGCCCTGGGGAGTGACTGCTCTCTTGTCCAAGGGCATCCCCAGCCCTGTTCTATTTCCCAAGGGCTTCAGAAATCAAGCCTTCCTGATCCCCTTCCAGGTCTTGGGAGCTTCCTCCTGTTGGCACAAGAGCAGCCCAGACAAGAACATGCCAAAGGCCTAGACTTGTGGGCCCATCAAGAGAGCCAGGGTGAGCTAGACTGTTTGAGTACACTGGTTCCAGTCCAGAAAATTTGTGTCTGGAGACTCTTAGCTAATCGATGCCCTTGAAAACATGACAAGTGTAACTGGGACTGTTTCAGTTTGGACAGGTCAGGGGTGGGTCAGGGGAATGAGCTTCGGCCTTGTGTGCTGTGGCCTCTGGTACCCTCGTACCCTCTTCTGGCCCTGTTTCATTGACCTCTTCCTCTTCGTCCTCCTCCTTGTCCTCCTCATCCTCTTCGCTGTCAGAATCTTCATATAAGTTGATGGTGGCTTGGACAGGGAAATTTTGTAGTAATATCTCCCCGGCACTGTACAGGTAGTCAAAGGAACGGGATTTAGGCCAGAAGAGCCTGCAAACAAAACAGAAGCAGGGCCCCTAACTAAGGCAACTCTCAGATGTAGAGGGACCAGTCAGGCCAAGAAGGAAGCACACCCCTTGGAGCTGGTTGCTAGCTTCAGGAAAGGTCTGAGAGGGAAAGGAAGAAGCAGCTTTGGTGTGGAATCGTTGCGAGTGTTACAAAAGTGGTTCTAAGAAAGAACATCACCTCTGATGGGCCTGTAGCTGTGGTAGAGGGTGGGTCACCCCAGTGTCTTTCAATGCTAGCACTGACACCACTAACCGCTCCATCATCCCAGCCCTTCCTTTTCTACTAAGGATTCTATCAGTGGTGGGTTCACAGGATTCCATCCATAGGGCTCAGGGACGGAGAAGTCCCTCTGGGGAAAGTCACTTTGGCCTACTGAGTTCCATGGTCTCTTTCCTCGTGCGTCATGGCCTTGTCATGAGCATACATAGAGCTCATGGCTGTTTGTCACATTCTGAACTTGAACACCAGAAGCTTACCTGACAGGGTGATGGAACTCAGACACAGCCTTGGTGGCCTCCGCAGCTGTTGCCCCACCAGCAGCCTGTCCAAAGCAAAAGCTAGAATGTGGCTTAACTGCCCCTCCCATATCAAGGGTCAGGGATCTGCAGGTTCTGACAATCTCCAAAAGACTCGAGGCATCTCTGAGATCCAGCCACCTCCCAGCCCTGCCCTACAGCAAGGGGTCTGTCTTGGATCTGGTTGAAAAACAAGTAGCAAGAGTCATGGGGGTTGTTTTCTTCCCTGACCCTGTTCCAGTGTCTGTTTGGAGACTGTCCAGGGGACAGAGTTCTCTTAGAGGACAAAACATTCATGGAGCAGAGTGGGAGAGCACTGGATTCCAGCACCAGCTCTACCACACACTTTTGAGGCCAGCCCAGACCCCTTGCCCACTCTAAGCCTTGATGTCCAGCCTCATCTGTCATGGAAATCTTAGCCCTGCCTTCCTCCCAGGGCTGCTGTGGGGATAAAATGTGAGCAGAGTTGGCAAAATGCTCCCCCAGATCTGCAGCCTTGGACTGGAGTCAGGGGATGTCTGAGAAGGGACATGGCTGTCAGTTCCCATGCAAGCATGTCACAGGACCCCCAACTCACCCAATCCACCAGCATCCTCACCTGCCTTGGTTGATCATTTATGGAGGATAGCCAGGGTCTCCAAAGACAAGTTTCTCTAGGATAAACAGAAAAAAGAACAATTGGCACAGGAAGAGACTTAAACATAGGCCTCTTCTGATCACAGAAGAGGCCTCCTAAAGCTTGGCTCACAAGCCATCTGCTCTGGAATACCTTTGGTCTCCTGAGCACTGAGCCAAGGCTATGACAGATACCCCTTGTCTCTACTCCAACAATGTTATCACTGCTCTTATTCCACTGTTTTGGGATTGTCTGTCTGAGCCCCTTAAGCTGAAAGAGTTGTCTAGGCATATCTGAACCGCCATTCCCCTACTACTATGCCTTGCACACAGGAGGGACTTAACTGTTGAATGTGAATGTGAAATGTGCAGAGGAGAGAATGCCAGCTATATAGGGAGTATCTTGTGGCCTATCTCCTGCATCAAGTAGTAGGGAACAGAATTCTGCCATTTTCCTAGCTGGACCTAGAATACTCCTTGGCCCATTACTTTTCCTCTAGATTCTAGAGGCAAGGAGGAAAAGCAAATAGGAAACTTGTGGCATGCTCAGGACGGAAGTAGCACTCCAACCAAAAGCCTCTTTAGACTTTGTCCCTTTTACTCTATGCCATCTCTTACCATCTAGGCCCCACAGTCCAGGTTGCATTAAAGCCCAATTTCCAGAGCAACTTCTCCCTTTCCCTCAGGAATTGGACAGACTAGACCATGAGGGTCAGGCTACTTGGCTTTCAGCTTTGGCAATGTTCGGTGCCCCTCAGCCCACTCCTGCCACCTAGAGTGATGAACGAGGTAAAATATTCCAGCCAAAGGTATAGAGGGAGATCAGAGGCTCTTTGTTGCCTCTCTTCTTCAAAGAGAACAGGGCCACTACCACCATGGACCATCTCACTATCTCCCTCATTCATTTCCCTGAGTTCAGGCTGTCAAAGTTTCACTTACCTTCCACTTTCAGAAACTTCTTGTCCATTGATTTGTGCTACAGCAGGGGCTTGGGCCAGGGCCAGGCCAGGAGAGGCAGCAGCAGGAGCAGCAGGGTCCATCCTAGAGACACCAAGTCAGATGACTGTGGCCTATTCCAGTCCTCAGAACCTTCAGCACTCTTGGCTTTTTCCCCCAGAGACCCTTTTATAAGCCCTGCCTTGACTCATCAATTATTCAGGCAGTGCAGGGGTGGGGGAATGTGGGATGGTTGTGAAGGTTTAGGGAGGGGGCTCCTGGAGTGAGAGCTATGTCCTTGGGTGTGAAATCTCTCGCTGTTGAATAAACAGGGTCCCCGGTGTAGGTGAGGGGTCTGCTGTAGCCCCAAGTCAGAGAGGAAAACAAAGGGGCAAATCTCACACCATTTGTGTGAATTCCCCAGGCAGTGTCAAGGCCCAAGGTGGGAAGGAGGGGAGCTCGCACCCATGTTTGTCTGGGGCAAAGGGCTGGGTCTATGGGCCTCTAGCAAAGCTGGTTCCCAGTGAGAATAGAAGGCTTCCAGCTCTAAGAAGAGTGAGGGACTCACCAAGTATTTCAGCTCAAATCCCAAGTAGATTTGCCAAGTGGACCTGACACAGGGTCACTGCCATGAAGCCTGTCACGTGGCTTAGGATAAAGAGGGGTTCTGGGTGGAGCAGGTCCAGTCTCTTCCAGGGTAAAACTCAAGTCATCTGTCAGTGCCTCCCTACCCCTGCCTCACTGCTCAGTTGACTTGCAAAAGTGCCTAAAGCCCCCTCTGGCCTCAGCAGAAAGCTGTGTGGTATGGGGAGCGGGCCCAGGGAGTTTGCAGGGCAGATTCCAAATGGCACAGCTCAGCTGCCAGTTTAGGAGCCCAGGTGCTGGAGGCCGGGAGGGCTCTGCCCAGCACTGTGTTGCCAAAGGACCATCAGAGTCCTCAGTCCTCTCACGTGAGATGAGGGTGCTGGCCCTGGGGTCCCCAGGCCCCTGACAGCCTGAACACTCTGTGACAAGAGCTGGGGAATGGGTACTGACCCCAGCAAGCCAAAAAGGTTTGAGCAGAGTGTTTGGCATTAGCCACCTTTTGGGCCTTAGCCAACAAGCTTCCAGTTACAACAACTGGCAGGCACTTCATGCTTAGAGGTTTCAAAAATATTCCTCCTGACCTCAGTGGCCAGCACCTGCCTAGATTTAGTGTCTTGGATGTTCATCACAGCCTGGTTTGTAATGCTCAAAAATTAGAAACTGCCTCAGTGTCCAATAATAGGAAACCCGTTAGTTTTGCTAATCGTGGACAATCCATGTAATCACATACTGAGCAGACAGTGAGAATCATGGCATCATCGCAGAAAGCTGTAAAGCTGGATGCTAAGGGGTGGGGACTAACTTGATTCAGGGGCTCCTTATCTAGCTCCCGCCTCCCAGCACTCTGCTTGAATTTGAGCCTCACTGTGATCTGTACAGCAAAGAAAAACAACTAAAGACAGAGTTGCGGATATGGCCCAGTGATGGAGCATGGCCATAGCAGGGCTTGACCTCTAGCACCAGAAAAAAAAAAAAAAAAAAAAAAAAAAGAAAAGAAAAGAAAAAAAGCAACGTCATGTTAAAATGTCCTGGTGGAGGAATGCATAAACAGCCAATGTATTCAAGACTGAAACTCCTAAGTTTCGAAAATATTACTTAGGACGATCCCATTTTGATAAGAAAAAAATGTGGAATGTACAGTATGCACAGAAAAAAAAATAGGCTAGTTAGTAGAAAAGATGTTGCAACTGTCAGCTCAGGGGGTAAGAGAGAAAGGTGGAGCTTCACTTCCTTTATGATTTTGTGATGTTTTTGAAACAGTTTCCACAACTGAACTGACATTGTTTGGCGCACAAAAAGTAAGAATAAATAAAGACCAAACTTGAGTGGGTATGGATGGGAGGTAGGTCTAGAAAGGTTTGAGAAACAGGATGCATGGAATTATATATATGTACACACACACACACACACACACACACACAATTATATATATGTTTTAACTGATGAATAAAATTGTATATATTTTTAAAAATATAAGAAAAGGAAAAACAGGAACCTCTTGGAGAGACGGCAGTCATTTTGAAACACCTGAGGATTAGATTGCAATGAATTATACTTGTGTACAACCTCAAAGGGCAAGCTAGAGAGAGGCCCAAGGGTGGAAGCTACATGAAGACTCATTTTTGGCTCAACCAAAGGAAAAGTTTCTAGCAGCTCAACCACCTCAGGGCCTGGCACTGTACCTGCTGTCCACAAAGAGAGGTTTATTCTATGAGATGAAATGAGTCCTGTGGAATGCACTACCTCGGACTGAGCTAAGCTCTCTAATGCTAAATGTATTAAGTTGGAACTGGACTGTATCCTAAAGAGGGGGATCCTGTGGAAATTTGCTAAAAGGAGAGGGAAGGAACTGAGAGACGGGAGCAAAGTCAAAAGGACTGGGCTGAAAAGAGACAGCACGCCAAGTGGAGAGAGCCCAAGACATATCATCACACCCTGGAATCTTTTTGACCTCTAGGTGACCACTGACAATAGGCAGGAGGTCAGAAGGAAAGGGGGAGGAGACACATTTTTCTGGAGGTCCCAGGTCTTACTCATGTCACCCACCATGCCACCTTTGACCTTGAAATTGTATTCCTCCAGCCAATCCCTTCCCTCCGTAAAACAGGCCTCACAGGATGCCTTATGCTCATCTTCCAACATGCTGTCCTAACTCTGAGGGAGCCTTCAGCCCTGTCTCCATGACTCTTAGTTCTCCCTATACAACCGTTCTGACTACTGCCTCCTAAGACTCACTTCAGCATCACCCAACCGTGGAAGATATGAAGGTATTGGCCCCATTGTGGAATAAAAGCCTTTTGCTGAACCAAAATATCAGAGCCTGCCTGTTCTCCCTTGTACTTAGTGTGGAACAGGAATGAGGTGGTCAGCAGGAAAGCAGGAAAGACCAAGATAAGCCAAACAGAATTTCCAATAAAGGCAATTAAGATAACAACTAATTTCTCTGTCAATTATATTGTGCTGGGTTTATCAGTGATCGTTTTCCTCGACTTTTCTGAGAGGAATAGGTACACTCTCTGGGCCAGACACTCCTTGCTTGGCAAGGAGATGAGCTAGAATGAGGAGGGTGTTGTGGCTCCTGCCCCAAGGTGCTCACAGCTTAGAGGGTGGAGAAAGACAGTCTTAATTAGCCTCTGCCAAACCGGAACCCCTCCACCAACCTCAGAGAAGTTCCCTTGTCAAGGCCCCAGAGTAGCCTCCACGTTTCTCTGGGCCTCATTCCAAATTTCCTTCAGTTCCCTACCATGTTCCTGCCGCACCCTTCTTGCTCAGAACAACCTCTCCTCCTACTTCCCTGAGAAAACAGAGGCCTTCAAGCATGGATTACCTCAGTGCCCTGCCCCAACCCCCCAAACTGGCTTGCCTCTCCAACGTCCTTCCCACCCTTCACCCTCCCTTAACAAGGGACAAGGTGCCCCTTTCGTTAAAGGTTAATCCCTTCTCTCCTGGGCCTTGGCCTCATCCACCCTCCTCTGGGCCCTCTCTCCAGGACAGTATCTTCTTTCCTTTCAGGAAAACCCAACTTCCCTACACCAGAGTATAAAAGGCCTGCTTTCTGTGACGCCCTAAATCCAGTGCCTTCCCTCCTCACATTTGTTCTCTTGCTCCCCTAGTCTGCTCTCCTCGGTGTCTTTCTCTTCCTGCCTCCTTCCCTGCTCCCATTTCTTCCCTTCCCTCTCAAGTTTGTTGAAAATAGAGCCTAACTTCTAGACTTATGCTTTCCTCAGCTTCCCATTGACACCTCAGCCAGTTTGGCTCCAGTCCCATCATCCCAGTGAGAAGGCACTGACAAAGGTCACCAATGACCTCCTAATTGCCAAATTCAATGAACTCCCTGAACTGTAGCTCCTCTTGCTAGTCCATCCCCTTGCTAGGCAATACCCCAGCAATAGGCACTGACTGTTGACCAAGCAAATCCACCTTCCTCTTTTGGCCTCCATGATCAACTGCCTCCTTTGTTTCTCGCACTCTTTCCCTCTCCCCCTTTCCTCTCTGGCATCTCTCTCCTGGAAATTGAACCTCATAATCTCTTTTTACTGTTTTGGATTTTTGTAGTCAGGGTCTCACTCTCATACCATCTTGGCACTCAGACTCTTCCGTTTCTACCACCTGCTGAGATTACAGGCATGCTCTGCCAGGCCTGGCTCAGTCTCTGAAGCTGACCACTCTTCCTCTGCTCATTTCTTCACTCAGCGGTCCTCAGAGTCCCATGATACAGTGATATTCTCAACGGGTAAACACTTCACTAGGACAATTTCTCAACTGTTTAGATTTATTGAATTCTAAAAAACTGTCCTCCGTTCTAAGATTCTATCCTTCCTGGTTTGGGGTGATTAAATGATCTCTTTTTTTCAAAGTGAAGGTGATAGTAAATGCTAGCTTATTTCCTTAATGTTTCCACTTGGCAAAATGAAACATTAGTTTCTTAGTGTTCGTTTCATAAATATTTATAGAATGAGTGAAAGAAGAAGATCTGTATTTCCAGCCTGGAATTTTCCCTATGGGTATCTCAAATTCACTCCAAAATTGGAACGATTCTTCTCCCCCAACAAGTCTCCTGTGTACCCACCTTACCATCAGCGTTCTATTGAGCCAGTCACTCATTCTAAAATCCTCTACCTGTGTGTACTGTCAGTTCAGTTCTTTGATGTCCTTCACTTTTGTCTCTCCCAGCACGTCCATGCTCCCTCTGTCTACTCTCACCTGGACATTGGGTTGGTATAAAAGTGCCTATGCTTTTTGCATTGTTGAAATTTGCCATTTGATATTAGACTACTACATTTTTTTTGAGACAGGATTTTTCTGTGTAGCCCTGGGTGTTCTCTTACTCTGTAGTCCAGGCTGGCCTAGAACTCAGAGATCTCACCTGCCTATGCCTCCCTGAGTGCTGGGATTAAAGGCATGTGCCACCACTGCCCAGCTGACTAATACATTCATAAATAAGTGTGGCTATGTTAATGTCTCTTCTTGCTTTATGTCTTTTGTTGATGTTACAACCATGGAAGACATTTCAAAGAATTCAACATGGACTATTTAATAGCCCATTCGGAATGGGAAGCAAGTGGGAATAGTGTAAAGAATTGGTAAGTGGGTGCTCCATGAGCTGTCTGAAAATATTTTTAAATCATCAGTTTAGACTACCATCCTCCTTTATTCTAGTCAACAGCAATGCACTGTTTCTCGGCTGGCTTTGTGATAGAAGGTAGATTTAGTCACACAAACTGGTGGCAATCATCTCAGTGGTTGGAGTGATAAGTTGGAAAACACTCCCCAAAGCCAAACTTGTATCATAAACCAAGTCATGGGCACCTTTGGGTGGTGTGATACGTGGCATGAGGCAGGACAACTTGTTACACCCTAGTGAAGTCATTACATCTGAACAGTGTGCTCAGCACATTGATGGAGTGAACTGAGATCTAAACGGCATGCCCCAGTATTGCCAACAGAGAGGGTCCAATTCGCCACAATACCTTGTCTCGGGTGGCACAAAGCATGTGTATGGAGGAGGGGTAGGGACACAGGTGGTAGGGAGACTTAAAAAAAAAGGTGAAGAACAAGAGCAATAAGAATTCTTTGTATATGTGTATTAAATGAT